ATCTTGTACTACACTGGTCAATTTGATGTCATTTAGCTCGCTTTGCTAAGACTCAACATTCAACGCCATGTTTATTGAAAAGTTCTCTCATTGGCAAGCATAGTTTACCAAATATTATATAATCATATCAGTAACAGGATAATTCGATTATTATGAAATGCTAACTTATGTTTGTTGCCTATAATTCAGAAATTTAACAGTGTTTTGAGATTTTTTGCTTAAAGTTAACTTTTTAAGCATGGGTCCCTTTTCAAAAGTCTCCCACCTACTAACTCATATGTGAACTTAAGTATAGGGGAAATTTTGTTCGCTACGTTAAAAAAATCTTCTACTTGCTTTATTTTGCATGTGAAGACCATAAAACCGTCATCTCTATATTGACAGTGTAATTTGATGTTATCTTTCCATTTGAACTTATCTAAGATATTTATTAATAGGACAGACAGATGCAGATATGTGCATGATGGTGAAAATATACCACCTATGAAGGGGGCGCTCCTATAACTTGTTTGTATAACTTTCCATTAAACTCAAATTTATTGTTTCTTAGAATCAATTAAACAAATGCAGTTTAATCTTTTTTGTTGAGAATCTTTAAAGGATATTCTTTTGTGTCAATTAATTCTTCTGCATTGATAACTGTTTCTTTTAAATTATCAATGATCATATTTGTGTACATTTACTTTTCATCAAAGGCAATAAGAATGCATTCCCTTTTTACCTCGTGTGTTTTATTAATGAATTCTTTTGTATCTTGAACTTAAAAGTTATGCCTCTACAAAAATGGTTTTATATTAGATCATTTAATCTCTCAAAGCGTCTCGTGGTAGAGTTTCACTTATTGATGATCAGTTGTAAGGAACATTAATTAATGTCTCCTACTAGTTGACCATTAATCAATGCCTCATTAATTATTTCAATGAGTTTTTGAAAGACTGAGGTACATGTGTCCATGTTTTGAATCATTATTATTCTTTAAGAATTATACGTATGGAAATCTATTTCTATTTTTTTCTATGTAGATTATCGACTATATCTTTTATTACCATATAGCATATAAGTGAGGTTAAGCGATCTGTGTAAAGCTCTTTATTGCCAAGTTTTATATATCTTAAATGATCCGTATGGAGGTGCTCTTAATTGCAGGAAGCTAATACAGACAAGAAATATAAATGTTCCGAATGAACAATAATTAGGGTTCCGAATATTCCTCCAAAGACTGTATTTCTAACTAATTTATGTGCGTGAACCCTCAAGGGGGGGGGGGGGGTCACGCAATGAACCCTCAGGGGTTCACGCAATAAACCAACAAGATAACAACAGGGGTATATGACTCAAAAGTAACTGAAGGTTTATTCACTCGTAACACAAGTTCGACAACAAGAGGCAACTCGATGAAATTGGTAAAAAACAGAAGCAGATTAGACATAAGAAAATACTACTTTACTAACAGAGTAGTGGAAGTATGGAATAGCCTACCAGACATCGTAGTGACAGCAAGGAATGTAAAGATTTTTGGAAATCGTCTAGACAAGCATTGGAAAGAACACCCAATGATATATAACTTTGACACTGAACACACCTATAACACCTAAAGTAGCACAAGTGTAGTTAGTGATGATGAATCAGAGCCAAATATAGAGGAGCAAACTGATCTCCTGCGTTTGGAAACACTTAGGTAGGTAGGTAGGTAGAATTCGAAGTCTATATAAAATATTCATGAAACTTAAACTGTATTCAATTGTTTTCAAATTTCCTGATATAACTATATATATTTAAGGGAGTGGTGCACACTGAACAACCCGCGTTTATATTTAAAAGTGTGCACCACATTTTTTAGGTTATTTCAAATAGACAGAAAAAATATAACAGTCATTCCTTATAATTCAATTCTAAATTCCATTTTTAAGGAGTAAATCATGAAAAAAAAAACGTTGATGACGTCACGGTCACATGACAAAATTATGTCTATGAGCTGAAAGACAAAAAACTTTCAGCCAATCAGAAGACGTGTTACATTAAATTATTGCTGTTGACAAAAATGTTGCAAATAATCTTGCACAGAAGGAAGACTTTAACCTAAATAAATAATGGTGTATCTGAAAGAAAATTTATGTAATTACTTCCAATAGAATTTTAGTTTTGTTAAGAATGTCCTTCTCGCCATTTTTAGATAATTGCTCAATTTGTTTTCTGAAATCTAGCAAGAATGTTTGCAGTTTTAAGTAATCTTTAGGCATTGATAACTTTCAAGTGAAATATTCGGAAAAACGCTAATAAGTATTTATTGTTGATTTGTTCTCATCATAAACATGCATAATATATTCTACTGGAAGTAAAGCAAACATCAATAAACCAACCAATTCCTTCCAAGCCCCTTTCATCTCTAGAGGAAAGAATTGCATTAAAAAAAATTCCCCATGCTTGTCCATTTCTCTTATGCACCAACTTAGTATTTGTTTGGAGATTTTAGTTGGTGACGCATTTTTTTTTTTAATTGTTACACATCAACATCAACTTAACCCCAGTTCTTATTAATGAAAGTAAGTATTGTTCAATTAACGAAAATAACCAAAAACACTCTTTTGCACGGATGAGTACTTGCGATGAGCTAACATAGCCCTAGTAATGGACTTCTGGTATGAGTGAAGTAATTTTATGCATACGACTTCAGAATTTTACTAACATAAGGGAATCCTTAGCGAAATCTAAGTTTAAGGATCTTTAAGTTAAGATGCTTTATGCATACGGGCCAAGTTTCATAAGCTTCTAATTCTTCAATCGGTGCAAATTGCTCAGGAACTGTTCTCCTGTGCTGACACGTTTTGACGTCAAATGAAAATGCTGACCATAACTGTATAAAATACTGACCACAGAAATTAAGGACCCCTATTAATCAATTTCATAAAGAAGAAAATTGAAAATGACATTCCTAATGAATAAAACTTCAGTAAAAAGGCTGATTTTGTAACCATTAATTTGTTTTATAAATTTTGAAGAAAAGAATCACTTTTTACTTTCTATACAAAGATAGCCTTAATCTGCACAAAAGTTGCAGGTTCAAAAAACATAAAATGCTTCGCTGAGCGCAGCCTGATACGACCGCAGAGGTCGAACCCTAAACAGTTGGAGCAAGTTTGGACACGATATTCAAGCTTGATACTGTCTGAATTGGGATTGTGATCAAATATTTGACATAATATAGGTTTCTGACACAAAATAAATGTGGTCAAAGATATTAAAATTTTGAAATGGGACATTTAATTTACCTAGAATGGTCTGATATCCAAAATCTAACAACATGGTTAGATTCAGCATATAAAAAAAAACAAAAATTTAATTTTAGTTAAAATCAAACAAAGTTTAATTTTGGACCCTTCAAACCTTAATATGGACTAATTTGAAAACAGGGCCCAAAATAAAAAATCTAAATGCACAATAAGATTCAGCATATTATACAGCCGCAATAATTCGGTTTTTGATGAAATCAAACAAAGTTTAATTTTGGACCCTTTTGACCTCAATGTAGACCAATTTAAAAATGGGGCCCAATATCCAAAAAAGTAATACAAGGTTAGAACCCCCAAAAATTAAAGACTTTAAATTAATCCCATTGAAATTGGTTAAAAGATTGTATTTATTTTCAACTGAAGATTTCTTGCTATTGCGCAATACTGTGCAATTGAAGATTACTTGCTATTGTGCAATACTTTGCTATTGCGCAATACTGTGTTATTGCGTAATACTGTGCTATTGCGCAATACTGTGCAATTGAAGATTTCTTGCTATTGCGCAATACTGTGCCATTGCGCAATACTGTGCATTTGAAGATTTCTTGCTTTTGCTCAATAATGTGCTATTGACCAAAACTGTGCTATTGCGCAATACTGTGTAATTAAAAATTTCTTGCTATTGCGCATTACTGTGTTGTTGTGCGATACTGGGCTATTGCGCAATACTGTGCAATTGAAGATTGCTTGCTATTGCGCAATACTGTGCTATTGTGCAATACTGTGCTATTGCGCAATACTGTGCAATTGAAGATTTCTTGCTATTGCGCAATACTGTGCTGTTGCGCAGTACTGTGCTATTGCGGAATACTATGCAATTGAAGATTTCTTGCTAATGAACAGTACTGTGCAATTGAAGATTTCTTGCTATTGACCAATACTGTGCTATTGCGCAATACTGTACAATTGAAGATTTCTTGCTTTTGCGCAATACTGTGCAATTATTTGAAATTTCAAAAATTTTCAAGAAAAAAAATATGAACCCCCAAAACAAACTGGAAAAAAAAAAATCCCCCCAATTTTTTTAACCACCCCCCCCCCCCCCCTTTGGAGTAATTACCCCCAAACTCAATCCCAGCCTTCCCTTTGTTGTATGGAACCTTGTTGTACAATTTTAGAGAGATCCATACACTTAAACACAAGTTATTGTCTGGAAACTTGAAAAATGCTTGTTTTTGGCCCCTTGTTTTTGGCCCTAATTCCTGAACGTTTAGGGCAATTACCCCCAAACTTAATCCCAGCCTTCCCTTTGTGATATGGAACATTGTGGTACAATTTCAGAGAGATCCATACACTTACACACATGTTATTGTCCGGAAACTACAAAAATGCTTGTTTTTAGCCTCTTTTTGGCCCCTAATTCCTAAACTGTTGGTACCATAACACCCAAAATCAATCCCAATCTCCCTTTTGTGGTATTGGACCTTCTGGTAAAATTTCTTAGAGATCCATTTACTTAATCTAAAGTTATTGTCCGGAAACCAAATGTGTCTTCGGACGACGCCGCCGACGACGACGACGACATCATAGCATTATACGACGCAAAAAATATTTTTGCGGTCGTATAAAAAAATTGCAATTTAGGGGTTATTGTTACCGTTATGGAAAATGGAAAGAGTCGTCATATCTGTATTTCATAATAGCCGTAAAAATAATGTAAACAAATGCATTTTTTCGGTTATTATATTATATTATATGTAATAGTCTTACCTATTTTAAAGGGATGTTTGCAGACTTCCAAGGTATGACATTGACCAAAAATCAATGAAACATTATCTTTTTTTTTTCTTTTTCATATTCTTTTGAAACGTGTTGATTTAATCAATATAAGAAGACAAACAAGTATGATTGATTTTACATAAAGGTATCATCTGGCAGTTTTGTGATTACGACTGTTTGACAAAAATAGAATGCTTTTCGGTGGATTCAATTTATATTTATCATAACCATATAAGGGGGGATAACTTAAATACTTTATGATTGATTGATTATTGATGTTTAACGAAACTTTCCGCACTCTTGGCTTTATCGTCTGTATCGGCGGAGGAAGCCGGAGAGAACCACCGTACCTTGGTAGGAAAACTGGTCAATTAGATCGGAGTCTAACGAAGTCAATTAAGATCGGACCTGCCTCGTGCGGGAATCGAAATCAAAACCTCATGGTTGACAGATAAGTGTCCAAATTCAGTAAAGAACCGTCTGAATTCCATTTAATAAATAAATTCAATAACACTTACCGTTATCTTGATGTGATTGATTCGTTAAATAATAAAGAATTCTCTAAATATACTGCTGACATCTACCAAAAAGAACTAACTTTAAATAAATCAAATAATAACAGCAGTTTTTCTAGATTACGGTGCGAAATGGTTACGGACTTTTTAGGGCTTTTTTCTGTGTTTCCTGACTAAACGTGTTTAGCAACGGACTTTCGTTTTACAAAGACTGACCCCGTGTCAGAAAATGGACACAGGAGAAAAAAAGTTGAAAGTGGGTGTTGTAAATTGCTTTCTTTTATTATAGACATTTTCTTATAATTGGTAAACGTCTTAAAGTCGTTTAGCGCCTAACGTCGTTTAGCGCGGTAATTACGTAACAGTATATTCGACGTCACTACTTAGCGACGATTTTTGTGATCATATGTAGTTTAGATAAAGATTTCGTTATGTGAAGACGTTCTTCATTATTTCTTTAGAATAAAAGTCATATTGGTGCCGTGACAAAAAGAACGATGAGTTCTAAACTCAAAGCTATTCGAGCTGGACATCGTGGTGCGTCACGAATTAAAGCGAGCAAGCGGAAATTTCGAGGAGATATTACAGGAATACAATGTGAATGAACTTATGTCAATCAGAAAAATGATACGGAAGAAGGAAACAGTTATCTCGGAACTCAACGATAAAATTGTGGAAGAAATTTCGGAAGAGGATATTCAAGAAGAGATAGAAGAGGCCGACAGGTATGAATTTGATATCCAAATTACTTTAACAAAATTAGCAAAAGTAATCCGGGAAGAAGATATCACAACATCTACGAAACAACCACAATTAAACCCGCATGCCACAGAATTTACACTTTCAAACAACCAAACAATTCCAACTCAATTAAGTTTCACGCCAGCAAATCATTCAGGATCTACATTTTCAAACTCCAGTATGTACCATAAATTACCAAAGCTTACCCTACCTACGTTCGGAGGAAATATATTGAAATAGCAGCCATTTTGGGATTCCTTTTGTGCAGCAGTACATGAAAATTTGTCCTTAAACGACGTACAGAAGTTTAACTATTCAAAGTCTCAATTGTACGGAGAAGCAAGCCAGTACATCTCAGGATTACAAATTACATACACAAATTACGCTCAAGCCCTACATGTATTGAAACAGAGATTTGGTCAACCCCACAAAATTGTGAATGCCTTTATGCAAAGCCTTATTAGTCTACCCAATCCATCCGCAAATATTAGAGAGCTAAAGAACTTTTACGACAGTTTGGAGAATTATATTCGAGGGACAGACACATGAATCGTACGGGAGCCTTCTAGTACCAATTATCTTAAATAAAATTCCCGGAAACATCCGACAAAATATGGTACGTAATCATGGAAATGACAGATGGAATTTACAGTTGCTACGAGTCGCAATTCAGCATGAAATTACAATCCAAGAAGCAGGTCAGTCAGTAAATTAATACGAATTAGAATCAGAATATACACCTACATCGGCATTTATAGCGAGTACATAGCTAAACTACGATTCAAATAACAGAAATTTAACCAGCAAACCCTGTATATATTGTGACGACATTCACGCTCCAACTGCATGCATGATAGTAAAAAATGTTGATAACAGAAAGCGCACAATTAAGGAGAAACAGTTATGTTTTAATTGTTTGGGAAGTCACAGAATTGCACACTGCAAATCGAAGAAAACCTGTAAAAATTGCGGAAAACGACAACACACAAGTATTTGCAACACAAATGAACAGCATAAGCAAGACAAAGCAAAAACAGAAACGGACAATTGTAAAACAGGAAAACCAGTCAGCAATCACACAGTAGCAAGCATGCACTCATTAGCGACAACAGTAAGAGCTCAAGTACTTTTGAAAACCGCAATAGTTACAGTCTCGTCCGACGAAAACCATTTTAGTCAAGCAAACATCCTATTTGACGAAGGTGCACAACGCAGTTTTATTACCAAGGATATGGCAGATCAATTAAACTTGAAACCCATAAGAAATGAAGTAGTAACAGTCTCGGGATTTGGTGAATCAAATACGAAGGTACGACATCTTCAAGTGGCTACTATTTATTTACGAGCTCAGACTACAGAATTAATACCAATTAATGTACTTATCGTTCCAAAGATTGCTCACCCCATACAAACATACGCAAGAACATTTCAACTCCACAAAGACATGAAAAATGTGAAATACACAAGTTTTGGGAAATTGAGTCCAGTGGAACAGAAGAAAATTGTGGTATTACAAAAAAATCTGCAAAAGACGAAATGATCAATTACGAAGAGCCTAGTATTTATCTCGAAGGGAACAAGTACACTGCAAAATTCCCATGGAAACCTGACCACCCGGAGTTGCCTAGCAACGAAATAATAGCCCGGAAAAGAACTTTTAGTGTTATAAATCGTCTCGCCAAAGAACCCGAATTGTTAAAACTGTATTGAGAAATCATAAAAGAACAAAAAGAAAGAGGATTTATTGAGAAAATCAAGACATCGGAAAACCATACGACAAGCCGTATCCACTACATACCGCACCACCCAGTTAAAAAGCATTCGTTAAACACTCCTATACGCATAGTCTACGATTGTAGCTGTCGCCAAAATTCGGAATCACCCAGTTTAAATGACTGTTTATCTTCATTGTCTCCACAGTTGAATAAACTTACTGATATTCTATCAAGATTTCGATTCGAAAGATACGCCATTACTACTGACATTGAAAAGGCCTTTCTGCAAATTGGACTCGACGAGAAGGACCGAGATGCGACACGACTTTAATGGCTGAGTGATCCTAGCAACCCCGATAGCGAACTAGATACATACAGATTTAAGGTAATTTTATTCGGTGCTACTTGCTCACATTTATCAATCCACCCAAGTACTACATCTAAAATACTTGAACGAGACTTGTATGTCGACAATGTTTTAACAAGTGTAGGTACGGAGAAGGCTGCATTGAAACTGTATAATAACTCGAGAGAACTTTTAAGTAGCATCGGTTTCAATCGCAGAACATGGAAATCAAACAGTGAGAAACTCAGCGATAAGGCAGCACAGGAAAACGTATTAGATTTGGACACCGAAACTAAAATTCTGGGTATGCGTTGGAATTCGAAGTCGGACATCCTTACATTTGCTCAATAGAAGAACAATCAGCAACAATTCAAAAATAACAAAGCGAGAAATTTTACGACAATCTTCGTCAAGTTATGACCCTCTCAGAATTCTTGGACCAGTTACTGTGAGGGCAAAGCTTTTGATACAAAACCTATGGAAAGACAATTACGACTGGGACGAAGTGTTACCTCGCAACTTACTTAAAACATGGAGTGATATCAGAGATGAAATTCAGGATGTTACTTCCAGCAAACAGATTTCACGTCATTATTTCACAGGAAAAGACAACGGAGGCAACCAGAAAGTGACATTACATATCTTTGTAGATGCCAGTTAGAGAGCGTATGGAGCTTCTGCATATTTATGTAACGGACACTCTTCTACTCTAGTCATTGCTAAAAACCGTATTGCGCCACTCAAAGGAATTACGTTACCAAAATTGGAGTTAATGGCCGCCGTCATTGGAGTCCGTATAGCAAGGCAGTTAACAGATAACTTAGAAATAGAGCGCACCGTGTTATGGAGTGATAGTCAAATAGTTCTTCATTGGATATCGTCCTCAAAATCATTCGGTTAATTCGTAAATAACCGTACAAAAGAGATTAAAGAATCAACAGCGAATGGAAATACGTGCCAACTGAATCGAACCCAGCCGATCTTCAAACTCAGGGTATATTAGCTTCACAGTTCAAAGCATCAACATTATGGATGCAAGGTCCATCTTGGATCTCAGATGAAAGTCGTTGGCCTACATGGACACAACAGCCGAAATAGGAAACAACTCTTTTGATGACAACATGTGACAACGATAACACAGAGACATTTGGTTCTAAATCGATGCCCGGAATTTCGAAAATAATTGACTTATCTAGGTTTTCTTCATTGAAAAAAATATTGCGAGTTACGAGTTATGTTTTGAAATTTGTGAGAAAATGCAGACAGCAGAGCATACCAACTTAGAAAAAAACATACACACACACAGGAAAGAATTACTAACGAAGAAATTCTATTTGTAATACATCTATGGATTGAGGACGTACAAAACGAACGATTTATGGGAGAAAAGGAGAAAAATTCGAGTAATTTAGGAAGCAAAGAATTGCCTTTATTGAAACAACAACGCCTATTTATTGACGATGAAAGTATCATAAGATGCGGTGGGCGCATACATAATTCCTCGTTGGATAGCTGTACAAAATTTCCAATACTTTTGCCAAAGAAACATACATTTACTGATCTTATTATACTGGATGCACACTATATAAATAACACATAGCTAAGAGGGTGATAGAGCAGATTGTTACCCCGAAAAAACATTGTCTACTGAGGCGAGCCAATGTTGACCATGTCTTTTTGAGGGGTACCAATCTGCTCTA